TTGTTTCCAAGAGCATAGATTTTTAAATACATAAAGCAGGTAACCAGAATTCTCAAGGGAAAACTCCACAGAATGCATAAGGTTTATATGCATTATGGTATTAAATCTGTATTAAAATACACCATGAATCCTACTTCACAATCTAAGACAAACATTTAAGACATTTATAAATTACTATCTCCAAATGTACATTGAGAATAATAAAATGTTTAGGAACTATAGCAAAACTGTCAAGACTACAATCAGTGTTGAGACTCCACAAACAGACTTCTCTTGGACATCAAAGTCTAGAGAGAGCATCCACTGGGACCAATTTATCACATCACATCAGTAACACATTCTACCAGGGAGAAAAGCATGGTTTCTTGTGGGATTTATTTAAGCAGACATACAGGCACCTAAACCAGTTTGAAACACTCTGAAACATCCTGTTGAGCTTCTAGATACAGCTGCTGGAGGATACTGGTCTGCTGCAGGTCCTGAGTTGTATTTTCTAGCCCATACAGAAACTACATGGGCATCACAGATATATCTGGTGACAGCTGAGATGGTTTAGGCTGTATGTGAAGCTTCAAAGTCTAGAAAAGATTAATTGACTCCTTAAGGAGTTGTCTGAAGTACTAAATGGCCTGTTGGGAATGTTATGATCTTGTTATACCAACTTCATCTTTCAACGTCATTCCTCACTGATATCTTTCAACATGGAACCAATTCTTGAAGTGAGAATCTGAAAAGCCTCTAAACCAAAACCAAGTCAAATCTTTAACAGCCCAGAAACAGTCAACCATTTTTGCCTACACCAAATCACATCAATTTCTGTTCCTCACAATCCCTGACACAGCAGCAGGTCTTTATTCAATACACCTCCATTAGCAGTGGTGATATCAGGATCCTTCCCTCCTACATGAACTGTTAAAGTACAGCAGAACATTCTTGAAAAGTTTACAAGTAAAATACAAACAAAATGCTAAATAGAATATAAATAAACCAAAGCAAGGCAAGCACCAAATAAAAATGAAGTAGGATATAGTTTCAGTATCAAGCAAGCTTACTGAACTGAGAAATCAATCCCTACATTAGCAGTAAACAGTCAGTTCTAATGTCAAAGGCCAGTCAGAGAAGAGCAGGTGTGTGGGACACACAGCTGAATACCAGACACTGGTATACCACGGCAGTGCTTTGCAATACAAAAGCAGTAGTGCACAGGAAGCATCATAAGGATTAGCATCCATCTTCATGTCAAAGAGACTAAAACCTATCACCAGAAGAGCTCACCAGGAATACAGACTCTGCTGTAACCAGAGGTCACAAAAAGTGAGCCCACACGTCTCAAAGTTTAGGAGTTAATCGTCTGTCATACTATCAGAGTAAGTTTTAAAAGGTACTTTCCCTCATGCACCCCTATTTTTACAAAGAATTTGCCTGAAAAAAAGAGACTGTGACTGTCCCTAGTGCAACACACAGCACATAACATTAACTTTGCTGCATTTGGAAGTGTTCAGAGCTGTCTTTAAAAGTATTATAAATTTTCATTTGAACAGTCTGAAGGGACTCATCAGTTAAAAATCACCACAGAAGTCTTCATACATTCTCCTCTTTTCTACAGATGAATAAAGATGTCTTTGTTTATAAAGAAAACTTACTGTAACTGCAGTATCAGTGCAATACAGCTCAGTGGAGTGTAACAGACCCAATTCATAGCACAATTTTAGAAATCCTTCACATCCATAAATTTACAGGAATTATGCATATGAATGTTGCTCTTTACATACTCAATGGCAATCAGGATAGAGAGTCCCACCTGCATTCTGTGGGCTTCACTATGTGCCACTTCAAACTGCATAAAAAGTACAAATGTTTCAACGTATTTATTCAATTTCATCTTTGATTCAACCAGAGTACCTTTTCAAAAAACATGACCCCAGTCCTTATTCAGTTGCTCAGAATATCAATTATAACCTGAGTAGCTTCTTAAGAAGTCACTACTTCCACAGAAAACTCATCAACAAGTTGAAAACTTCTCATTTTTAGAAGATAAATTCACTTATTCTTCAGGATAGAACTGCTCCACCAGTGTTTCAACACAGCAGAATCTACAAGGGTTTGAGTTCACCAACACAAGTACTCATGCCATACACACAATTCTACTGCTTGTTTCAGGTATTATAAAATGCACTACACTGAGCTGAAAGCACTGATATAGTCATGTTGTACCACCTTAAACATTCGTGTATGTGCAAAGACAATTGCAAACATTTTTTAATAGAAATCTGTGGAAAAAAAAATGTTTGGAGTTACAACTTCTCATGTTAGAGAATGTCTCCAGTATCTTACAGAAAAAAATAAAAAAAGAAAAAAGAAAAGGAAAAAAAAAAGAAAAAAACTGCTCATTTTGAAGCCTTCTGACTAGAAAAATTTCAAGAGCTTAAGTTCAAAATCCAAAGCATAACATAGGCTTTTAGGACTCTGGTCACTGACACTGCAACTATCTACATGAAGTAGAGAGACAGCTTAGAAACTATTAGTTTTCATGAACTGGAGTGCACATAACACTGCTGACAGTGCCAGAACCTTACTGGGTAAGAAGCAGAGCCTGAGCCTCACTACTTGTATCTTAAAGCTGACGATGACAGTGATTGATACATGAAGCAGATAACCAGCTTTTGAATAAATAAATCAATTTGAGTGTTAAGCAAGGGTGGGGGGTATGCTGTTAAGTCCACTGATGCCACAAGGTAAGATGTATCACACAGGAGAGGCTACAGCAGGAAAACTTTGTTTGAGTAGCAGGATAACTCTACACACTATGCTGTACAGCCTTCCTTCCAAGGAACCCTCAGGTTTTTTTAAGCCTATCCCTATTGTAAAGCAGAACTTGACTTCATGGCTTTAAGGTTAATCAAGAACACTGACTTTTTCAGAGACAGCAAGTTAAATCTCCTGCTAGTGCTGATGAAGTAAATAAAATCAAAACCAAGCAGGGCCCATGTCAATCTCCCACTGGTAGCTAGAATATGCCTCACCTGTACAATTTACTATAAAGATATTTGATTGAGAACCAACTGTTTTATCTAACAGATCTTAAATGAAAAAGTAAACAAAAGAGCTACACACTCTCTCCCAACTCCTCCTCCCTAGCTTCCTACTCAACATCTTGCTTAGATTTTCCTATGTTTTCTACCACTCAATCACAAAACCGCTGAGGTTGACAGGGACCTATGGAGTTTCCAATCCCCTGCTCAAAGAGGGACACCTGGACTGGGTTGTCCAAGATCGCATCCAGATGCCTTCTGAGTATCTCCAACCATGGAGATTCCACCACCTCTCCAGACAACCTGCTCCAATGCTCAGTCACCCTCACAGTGCAGTCGTGCTACCTTAAGCTCAGGCAGAACCTCTGTGCTTCCATTTGAGGTCACTGCCTCTTACTTTTCCACTGGGCACTACTGACAACTCAAGCTCCACCTTCTTTACACCCTCCCTTCCCAATGCACTGACAACTCTCACCCTGAGCCTTCTCTATACTGAACAATTCCAGCAATTCTCTCAACCTTTTCCTCAGGTGAGAGAAGCTCCAGCCCCCTAATGATCTTAGTGGCCCTTCACTGGACTCTATCCAGTAACTCTGTTGCTTTCACTTGGGAGACCAGAACTGGATCCAGTACTCCAGATGTGGCCTAACCAGAGCTGAGATCACAAATCTCAACTGAAATCATTGTTTAGTACTTCTTAAGATTTTTACTGTACTGCAGGCAGTGAAGAAATTGCATCTTGCCAGTTCAGAGCCCATTTCACTCATCATTATTTTCCTAGATGCTTCCTACAACCTCCCCTTTCCTACTTCTGATTTCTCACTGGATCCAACTGCCCAAATTCTGCTGCTTATCCTCTACTACATTCTTCCTCTAGCTACTCATCTAATTCCTCAACTAGCATTCTACTGCATTCAACTCCTTTTCTAATCCTTCATTAGAGTCATCCGACAGCTGATGATCCCTAAATAGTAAACCAGAGAAAGATAAAATTAAAATCTGAGTTGAACTAGACCCTTAATGCTGCCAAAGATAAAAAAATTACTTTTAAAAATATTAAAACATTTACATACATTATTATAGAGATTAATCAATATCAGGAAGAACAGGAAGAAAGCTCTGTTTTTCAAGTACCCTTCTTGCAGTTTTCAGCATGGAACTTTCTCGCAGTAAATACCGAACACAGGATCTGTTCTGCTTTATAGATCGGCACTTCAATTAGTAGAATATACACAGAGATTGTGTAAGAACTCCAGCACCTCTGAAAAGATCTTCACTAGAGCAAGCAACATCCCAAGTCAAAATACCCTCAGCACTAGGGTAAAAAGACTACTTTGACAACTTTATCACATATTGCTTCCTTTAATGAGCACTGCCTAAATGAAGCATCGAGGCCTCAAGAACTATTTAATCTGAGTCTTTAGGGGTTCTATACCCCAAGTAAACAAGTGTCATGAATTTGGGAGAGTGTCTAGATCATGGATGTAGCTGTTCTTATTCCGACACAAGAAAATCACTCCTGCTCTGACACAAGTCCACACTGACAGCTATGCTGTAAGTTATAGGTAACCTCTCCAGTTCAGAAGTTCTCAAAGCTTTATTTTTTATTTATTTAGAGATCAAAAGAAATGAAATTTCAACAGACTGAGTTTGCCTGCTCAAGTTCTTGAGAGGAAATTCCACTATATATTAGTTCCTTCCAACCTACATAGACACAGCAGCCAGGATTTCATGGTTTTGTAAACCAGGCTTTCCAATAAAACATGTATTGGCAAGCCAGATCTGTTCTGTACTATAAAATCAACCAAGAAATGGGGATGAAACAAAGACTTCAAATATAATACAAAATACCAGTTGTTTACCTCCTTTTCAGAGCTACTTCTAATAAGACTGCATTAGCTATATTTGTAATAGTAAAGTTTTAGGCACACTTTAGATGCACGTAACTAAAACCAGTGGATTACTTACCAAAGAAATCAAATGAAAAGGGGTCCCTTCCACCAAAAAACTCCCTGAAAACATCATCTGGGTTACGGAATGTAAATCCAAAATCAAACGCATTATCGTGATGATTTCCACCTGAAAAAAAAAAAGTTACATTTCAATTACCTTCACACGTTCTTACAAACAAAAAAGTTCACTCCTATATGGTATTTGAGTCATTTAAAAATATAAACAATTTCTAAAATTTCCCTTTCAGGTATCATTCAGGTTAAGTACACACAACATTTTTTATAACTGGTTCTCTGTTTTTAGGTAACAGTAATACCTTCGACAACACAACTAGAAAAAAATGTAAAACCGTTGTAATCTCAATTTTCAGAGGACTGGAAGATTCCACCAGAATAGAGAAAGTAAAGAACTGCTGGATGTCAACATACCTCCGCCTCCATTTATTAGGCCTTCTTTTCCATATCTGTCATAGATGTCACGTTTTTTAGCTACAAGGAGAAGTTGTACATCATGTCAGTAAACAGGTACATTTTTTTTGTGGAGGAAAAAAAAAAAGGACTTAGCTGGTAGTGTCAGTTAAACATCTTCTCAAAGCTCTTTTATTTAACAAAGTTCTGGCACATAACTGCTGAATGTTTATAATGAGGACTGCCAAGGCAATTTAGGTGCAGAAAGAACACACACTAAACTTCACTTACTACCATTTAGTTCTAAAAGCTCCAGTCCTGTTGTATGAGAAGAATTTTGGTATAAGGACAAACTTCACAAGGAAGTTTGCCCTTTAAAAGAATACTTTAAAAAGAATACAGCAGTCTTCTTCTTTACACGGGTACAAAGCTTTAAGGCTGTAAAGGGCCTCTGGAACTCAACCTGCTACTCCACACAAGTCTAATCACAAAGTTGGTCAGGTCTTGCCTGCATAAAGCCCTGAACTCATCAGTCTCCAAGAAAAGACTCTACAGTTTCTCTGAAAAGCAGTTCCAGAGCTCAAGCATTCTCACTGTAAGCATTCTCCTCCTTCTATCCAACTTACAAACCTTGATCATTACTTTTTCCCTTTTATTGCACAAGAACACGCCCATAGTGAGAGAGTTCTGAGAACAGAAGAACAGTGTTTATATGAGTGACTGCAAACCCCCTAAAATTAATTATAACCACTTCTTTTAGCTTAATAATGGAGAATGAAGTGATGTTACAAAATGCCATGGAAGGATGTGACTCAAACTGCTTGCTCTCCATTATTTTAGAAGGCATAAAATGACTATTAATCTCACTCCAGACCAGCCTTACAGTATTCATGAGAAAGAGGAGAAAAATGAGCTCTACATTACTGCATAGGATCAGATGGCACTGTTGCTACTGGAAGGGAACCTGAAGAGCTTAAAGAGGCAGATAGTTGGCTTACTCTGCTTGCAGTGCTGTGGAAGTATCAGCCAAAAACTAGTCAGGGCATCTGATTTTAGACTCTCAATTTTATCATGCTTTTCCCACTGGAATCTCTTCAGTGAAAGATGTTTTAAAATTTAAATAGCATCACTGAAAGAACATGCAGTTACCTCAAACAGATGCTGGAAACTAAACCACTTCTGACTAACAGGAATTAGAATTTTATATAATGGTCATCATCTCCAAATAACAGAAACTTGCAATAGGTTCACACGCACACAAATCCCCAAAGCTTGTTAAATTACCCATATTGCCTTTCTAGAAAGCAATTTTTAAAGAAAGGAGGTTAACCTACTCATCAATGTTAAAAGACCAAAGTAGTAAGGCAGATAAACTGTCAGGAGCAGGAAACAGCAACCTGAGGACTCACAAAGCCCAAAGTTCATCTCTTAAAATGTTACATTTTTGAAACCACAAGGGAAGTGTGTTCAATGATCACCCAATGTCAGTATTCTTTGCTTATGTAACCTCTTACAAAACTATTCTTCTGCCAAAAATCTGTCTTCATTCAAGCCTGTAATGGTGTCAGAAAATTTCATTAGGTCTGCAGAGGAGCTGACTGCCTCTCGACCACTGGGCTCAGGATTCTGGTATCCCTGCTGCACAAATGATTGTTAAGACACCACTAAGTTAGGATTTGGTCTCGATCCAAAAACTGGCAGCACTTTTAGATGTTTTAAAATTCTAGCAGTGTACTGTTTCCAAAGAACTTAAAGATCTGTATAACAATCAGACCAGTAACCTATTTTTATCTAGCTAAAAATTAGCTTAAGAAGGTTAAAGTACTCTAGAAGACAATGAACTAACGATAAATTAAGTTCTGTTTCTCCCATATCAATTAAGTATCAGAACCAAGCAAAGAAATAGTGTATACTAGACTGCAGCTCCATAAATCAGGCTGAACTCTGAGAGGTAATCTAGATGCCACTAGTGCTTTAAATATAGCTTTCCCATGCTCACTGTCTCAGGTGAAATCAAGGACACTTCAGAAATAGCATATAGACAGCTGCAGTCAATTATAGAGGAAAATAATCAAAGTAGCTTAAATCACTTTGTTATGATTCAGACTGCTTCTGCCAGAACACTGGCAGAAGTTAATGATACTCTTCGAGCAAACACATGGCTGAACTCTAAACTGCATTCCTGCACTACATGGGTCAGGCTAAGCACCCCTTTCAGAACACTTCAAAACAAACACTATCACTATCTGTATCACAGCTGACTCAATTTACGAAACTCACCCAAATGCAATCTGAATTTTCAGCAAGGTTTACAGTATGCTTGAGCTTTGTCAACACTAGTTTGCTGCTACAAGAACTAGAAGCAGTAGGCCCAACCATAGATACTCTAGGGCTGGTCTAGCCTGACTTACTGGATAAACACAATAATACCCTTATACTGATGGTAACATTGGCTTTCCCTGCTAAGATAAAATTAATCTTGGTATTCATAGACTTCTCTTCAGAAATTTCTGAAGAGGGCCTGCCAGACACAGAATTTCAATTTCTACAGTAAAACTAATTTGGTTACTCATCTAGAGAGTCCTGAAATTTTGTTTCAAAATTTCTGCTTATTCTGCCTTATCTGCCAGCTTCTTTCTCTCTCTCTCTCTTCTGAAAAGAAAGTAGTCAAGCTGGATAATAAATCAAAGTAACAATATCTCATCATAGCATCCTACATCAACATTTTCAGTCTGATACCCAGAATAGAGAAAGGCAATTCAAGAACCCTTTTAAAATACCTACCATCTGACAAAACTTCATAGGCCTCAGCTACTTGTTTAAATTGCTGTTCCGCCTCATCTTTATTGTCTGGATTTTTATCAGGGTGCCATTTTAGTGCCAATTTACGGTACCTAAGTGGAAGGAAAACAACAGATATTTTACTCTGAAATGATGGAATATGCTATACAGATAAACACAAAATGTTTCAAACAAGTTGTCAGGAATTAAAGTTTTTAGAAATTCCCCAGTGCTTTGTATCTTGCAACCAGACTGGTATTAACAGATTCTGCAGGCACACAAAGAACCACCTACTCAGATATGCTTTCAAGAAAAAAGGAGTCTGGTGTGCTTCAGTTATTTTGAAATTATTCCTGTGCATTTCTGGTGATCAACATTCTGGTGATCAACACCTAAGCAAAACATTCCAAAACATCTCTGCTGTGGGCTTCTCCTTGAAGCTCCATAATTATTCAGTACTACAGGCAACTATGGGGAGCATCATGAAGGATCTGGTACATGTGAAGCACCTGGTACAGTCAAAAGTTGATAAAGCCTCAAGAACACACCAATACCAGACTGTGGCATCACCTTAACATCAATGCCCTCTTTGACTGCTACACCTGCATGCAATTCCTTTCCTGAAATGAAACATTTTATGCAAATTGTCCATATCTACTTAGAGGGTCAAAGCGAAGCTTGCCTTTCGGTTGGTACGGAGTGTTTTACAGTCACACAAGATCACAGTTCAAACACTTGAGATGACAAAGTAGCATGTGCAGGAATTAGTAAAAGAACAAGGGAGGACAATGAAGTGCAGATCCAGAAACCATGTTTAAAATACACAACACACATGCCAGTGACACTTACGCTTTTTTAATATCCTCTGCTGAGGCATGCTTTTGCACTCCCAGAACTTCATAGTAATCCACCATGTTTCAGTAGGTGTCTTGTTAACAACAGCTGAGTCTTTCAAGTCCTGTAACAACAACAGTAACTTGTAAATGAAGCTTGTCCAGTGCTGTTACTTCATAGAAGTCAGGTAGGAGTCTGGAACCTTCTAGTACCAAACCTGATCTGAGAGGGACAAAATTCAAATGTTCCAAACCCCCAAAAATAAAAACGCTTTATTTTAGGTCAACAAATCAAGCAATTACTTTCGTTCTGATTTTTATGTTCTTTAATCCCACTGAAGCACAGTACACAGACACATGGGTAACCAGCAGTTCCTGGAACAAAACAGACTGAAAAGCCTGATTTAATCAGTATATTAAAAAGAATATGTGGGTCACAGTTTTGATTACATATTAATTACTCTGAATGCAAAAGAAAGCACGTATCATGTTCACCTAATGTCATCTATGACACCTACATCATGTCTTAAGCACATATGAGCAGAAACAAAGGGTCCTTTCTTCCACATCTGCTTCTCAGAACATTATTTCCACTGAGATGCTCCCTTCAGAAAAGCAATGAATGTGCAGGTCTTGGAAACCTAAAACTCCACCTATTGATTCCAGTAAGCCCTTCTTGTACTCAGACCTTGACAAAAAATTTGCAGGTTGTCAAAGCTACTGAATACCCTTTCCTTCCTTTGTGTTTACCAACAGAAGCACATTGCCAGGCAAGGTTGCTGCAGCTCCAAGGTTAAACAACCAACTCAAGTACAGAGCCACCTTCTGTTTCTTAGCATAAAAGAATAAAGTTTTCACAAGAGTCCTAAGAAACCTACAAAGTTAAAAGAAAAAGCAACTTAAATACTGAAAGTTTCTTGTTCCTATTAGAGAATAATTACAAGAAACATTTATATTTACCATTAGTCCAACTAAATGAGGACTAAGATGAAAGAATCTTTCTAAAAGTTGCAAGAATGGTTTCATGTCTTCCTGCAAAGGCTTCTTCTCTCCAACACTGTAACAAGTCTCCACTCTGGCAAAAATTCCAAGCACCTTTCCATCCTACCACTGCTGCTGGTTCCTTCCAAGTTTTACGAACAAGGAAACACCAACATTTTCCATGAGTTATCAACTTGTTGCAGGCAAAGCCACACAAATACACTCAGAACATAACAATACAGCAGTGTATTAGTCACATTTTCTTATCTCGTGCATCAAGAACAAAAATTCATTGAAATAACTTTCCCCCCAAGTCATTCAATATTTTTCATTTTAGCCCACACAAAGTCTCATTTTCCTGTTCTTTCACACAATTGCTGAGGGTACCAAGCATGATGTAGCCCAGTGAAATATTCTGAAATTAATGTATTGTACCCATTTTACATATTTCTTTCAACATCCTGGGACATGAACAGAAATGAGAGGCTTCCTTTTAAAATAAATTGGTACATCTTCAAAATATGTTGTTGCTGTAGGTTCAAGCTTAATTAACTTTAATTAGGGATGTGGTTACACACACATTTCCTCAAATGGCAAAACCAGTTTAAGAGATACCCTGCCATGCTGCCACCCCACTCATAACTACTCACAGACGCAAATGCACTGGAGGAGCTATCTGTGTTTAAAACTTGGGTGGTTTTAGCAATCTACTTAACCAAACAGTCCCACAAACACAAAATTAAAGTGCAGCAGGTAAACAGACCTCTAATTGACTTTGCCCTTTGAAGAAACCCCCACACCAAAAATATAGCAAGGGTATAGTTAATATTGTGACCAGTGTCAAAGGATGTTGGGAGACATGAATTAAAATGAACGTTGAGAATGCCAATAATAATATACCAACGGCAGGGTTGAATATGTAAACATACAGATTACCAAAAATATCCCAGAATATTTGCTATCAACTGGCCTCGCTGGTTTTGCTGTTTCCCACACAGGGACTAGAACAGCTCATGAACACAGGGAGGAAGAGCAAGGTCAGCGTGGGTTAAGTCTGTTATCAAATCCCACAGCCAACCCTTATGAGCAATAGCACATATGGAACATATAGTTACAAAAAGAAATCAGAGTGTATCTAGTATCAGTCAAGCTTCAGGCTAGAGGTCAGAGCCCCTCCTAACAAGAGGTACCAGCAAACAGCAGGAAGCCACAAGACAGGAGCACAGACCACAACACTAAGTGTTTTTTCCATATTCTCATTTTCTTAAATATAACACTTGCATTAGCTCTCCGTTCAGACACCTAGCTTCTAGCTAGAATAAGTACATAAGAAATAAATCACATCTTTTCCTAGAGAACTCTGTGCACACTGGTAGTCATACTGATTTCATCATATATTTAAATACTTTGCTGTTTGTTTAAAAACAATGCTGCAGTGTTGTTAACTTCAGACTCAATGCAGACGCCAATATATCCTAAATAACAGAAGTCTGAAGTTGGAACCAAAAACCAATGCTGAGGCAGCATGATCACCTCTCAACAGATGACTCTGACCCTAAAAAGCAAAACCCTTCAAGAACAGAGGAATTATGTGTTCCAAAGAAATGTTTGGGGCTTGCATATTCTGTCTTTAGTGAACATGTTATTGTTTAGTTTTTATTTGCCGCTAATACAGAGTCTGGAATTAAGACAAGTAGCAGCTCTCTAAAGAGAACAAATTGTAAATATTCTCCTTCTCCTAATCAAACAGTCATGTGACAGTAAGAGTTCATCTCTATTTATTGTTATTTCTATCTGCCAGTTACCATAAACCAGAAACTGTACTGCTGAAATTTTAGCTCTCATAGGAACTTTTTACTTGTACTTAACGGTTTTAGCACTATTTACATGAAGAAAATAATCTGCAGCTTTTTTGTTCAGCTTAATTTTTAAAGAAAGTGTCAGCTAATATTTAGCCCCTTAAAAAAACTTGGATCTTTGCTCAACAGCCAATAAGACTAGGGAGGAGAAAAAAACACAACAACAACAACAAAAACACACAAACAAACAAAACTAAATCACCCACACCCACAAGTCCTACTCTCCCCCAAAAATCTCAACAATATTCACAAACTAGAAAATACCTCTGTCTGCAATCTTTTCAGGACAAAATTATTTAAAATATTTACTCAAGGAAACAGCCACCATGAGCTTATAATAAACCAGAATATACATGACCATCAACTTAGACAACAGAAGATAACCAAATAAAAATTAAAAAATCAGTATTTTTAAGGCTAGCAGGAATCTGCATGGTGAAAATGCCTAGATGTTTCAAAGATGCAAAAAACCACTCAATTATCCTAACCAAAAGGACATTACAAAATCTTCTTCCAACACCAAACCTGTCAAACAATTTGTCTCCAAATATACAAGCAAGGCTCATTAATCAGGCACTCGGGATTTTTTCCAAAGCCACAAAGAAGCCAGCCCACATTAAACTAATTTCCCACCTCCATCCACACAAAATCTCCAAAGTCTCAGAAGAACAGATAAGCAAAAAATCTCCAGCTGAAAGAAGCTGTTTCATGGCCTTTGTGTTTGTAGTTCTTGTGCTGGTAACTGCCCTATGTTTGCGGTGTGCTATCAGCTACTCTAACTCCTTCTCTGGAGCATGAAAATCAAACAGGCAAATGTTTATGTGAACCAAAAGTTTCCATAGTTTACAGAGTTCTCAGTCACCACAGGAGAAGTCGGCTTTGTTCTGGCTTATGGAGCAGTGGCCCTGAGCACTCACACTGACTCAAGGCGACTGACAGGAGCACATGACCAGGCTGGACCCTCCTCGTACAGCACAGCCCAGAGCTCCACCACAGTTATCCTGAAATCCAGCTCAAACTCTCTTCACAGCACAGTCCTCAGCTACATAAAAGGCATGAGAAGCATTACAGAACATAGTTATATACAGAGCCATGTACAGATCATATGACAAAGAAAAGCAAAGCAAGTAATCAGATGCACAACCCGAAGGGATGACAAAGCAGCACTCCTAACTAAATACAGAAGGGAGGAAAGTAACCAAACAAGAAATTCTTAGAGCAGCCAGGACGGAATTCAGACAGCAAGGGGCATGCGACCTTTGCAGTCAGCTTAGTCAGAAAAAGTTATCTATTTCTGGCCATGAAGCAACGGGCAGCACAGAGAGTCCTGAAAGATGCCAGAATAGCTCCAGCTTTGTGACTAGTGCAGTCACCTGGAGAGCCAGATGGAGTTCCAAACTCCTGATTCATGCAGTTCACAGAAGCAGCCAGTCATCAACATCCTGTGCAAGTCCCACAGCCATCCAGTTCCTGGTACCTGCTGCTTTCGATGAACATATGTAAAGGACTGCATCCTGCTGGCAGTGCCAGAGGAACAAATACCCTGTTCTGACTCCCAGTTCAGCTTGAGCTTGAATCCAACCTACTCAACAGCAACTGAGCAACTCAGACATGTCTCCTGGATGTTAACAGATGATGCACACACTCAAGGATCCTTGGGAATTGTAATCTATGATTAAAAAATATGATTCTTCACATTCCAAGAGTTTTATTAGAAAGCAATATGTGAGCAGGATGTGATGAACTTTACACTCCTTGAAGTGTGCACACTACAGTCATGTTGGTGTTGTTCTGGATCCAAGGCCATACAAAGAGTTCCAACAACACACACACACATTTTCCAAGTTTTCTAGTATTTCTTCATTTGACTTCTACACAGCTAAGACACCTTTGCTAATCATTTTATTATTTACAGTTCAGTAAATTCAGACACATAGACAAACATTCTGTTTAGAAGTAACAAACTTCAGATGAAGTTCAGTCACTTCATTTGCTCAGAAGCTACAGATTTCAAATGCAATCTACGAACTTTAATTACTTGCCTTATCTCTCTAAGTTACCCATCTAAAAGAGGGTAAACAAAGATCAACCATAACACTGTTTGCCAAGGCCTCTAGGACATATTTGTACCAGTGGCTCAAGGAGCTCTCACTGGCTTGAAGAAGAAACAGCTCTTTAAGAAACAGATCCTGGTTATAGGACCTGACTTCTGGTGTCTCCTATGCCCTGACCAAAGCCAAATCTGACAGCATGGCTCTCAGAGTGAAACACTGCTCAGGCAACGATCAAACACATTTCACCCACCGCAACTCAGCAACACAGGAAGCCATACAAGTCCCAAAACCTCGGCCAAATCCCCCCAAGAAATCAAGATATCTATGTCAATTCTAGCAACAATATCTGGGATGTGCCATATGTAACTGAGCTGAGATCAGGAGCAGTCTCTTGACTGAACTTGCAAAGATCCACCGTGCCAGCGCTGTACAAGAGCTAGCACAAAAATGTCCACACTCTTTACTAGAAAATCTAAGAAGTATAAGAATTCTAAGAAACAAAAGGATAGTTATTTTAATTCTGATGAGATATTTAAACAAGGCACCAACATTAAATTCTTCCCCCCACTGATACGTGCACAGTGGCAGTGTGGACTAAGGCATATTAAAAACCTCAGTACTTTTAACTTGTACTTACCTTAGCTTAGAAAAGCTGTCAGAGTTTAACTTCACAGGTTCCTGAAATTTATTGTTTCATGGAAAAATGAAAATCTTACCATACAATTAAAATTAGTAAAATGTACTTAAATAGCCATGTTTATACTCATTATTTTAATACTACCACAGCATCCCCGGGAGATGAATCTAATAAAATGAACATTCCAAAAAGCTTAGTTTAATCTCACGCTTAGAACAAACATCCTGCTTCTATGTCAGAAAACAGGGTGGATTTGGATACAGTTATTATTACACAAGAGGATGCAGTTCATACAGGGAAAAGGTAGTTGTTGCTTTTTTACCTTGACGTTTATGTTCCATTTTAAAAAAGCCAACAACAACAAAACCCCACTACAACGAAAAAGGAGACACCGGTACAAGGCTCTCTCACCCCTTAAGGCAAGAAGGTACCAAGAACCCTGTCCATTCCTCTCCTCCCCAAGGGCTGCAGGACACAGCTCTGACAAGAACGACAGAACCTGGTCTGTTTGACTGCCTGGCACAAGGAAAGCCTGTAGAGGGCAACAAGTAAAAAACCATTAAAAACAGTGAACCAACAAAAACGGAAAACAGAGGAAATTCAAAATCTTCATCTGTGAAAGAAATGTAAACTGTCTAAGAAAAACAGGGAAAGGGAACTGATCAGGCCACCCTCACTCCCCTGGCTGACACTCTCCTGCTTATCCATCTGATCTCTGAGCAGGCCCTAAATCGAGGGAGACTTATTCACGAGCTCTCCTTAAAGCAAAGGAGCATTTTTCCAAAACACAACAACTCAGGTGTCCAAATTTGGAATTGTGTCACAAATATCTGCAACACTGGCACCCTCCTAAAACAACCATAAAAGGCTACTTGATACAAAATAAAAGTATTCCTATATTATTTTAAAAAATATACAATCTGTGTTTGATTGAACAATTAAAAATAGTGAAAGCCTCAACCGAAAGATGAGGCCCAGGAACTTTCAGCCAAATAATCACATGCAATGACATGATCCTTTAGGGAAAACAAAATAGTTTAAAGTTTCTACACACTTCCCCTGAAGTATTTTTGGAGTCATGATAATTTTATTCCAGGCAAACGGAAAAAAAAAGTTTCATTAACGCAAAGAGCAAGTTCTTTTTCAGAGCACTGACAGGCTGTCATAGATTCAGACTACATTTTAAGGTAGAAAAATAATTCTAATCAAAAGAATTAAAGTTTTAATAAAAACTGTTATCTGCAATGTAGACAGGAATGACTTCAGACTTATTATATGAGCTTCAAGATCCTTGTTAGGTACCGAGTCCTCACTAATATCAGTGGATTTCAGTATTTTCTGAGAACTAATAGAAAACATAATTGAAACCTACAGTTAGTAACTGGAGGAGTGAAATGTATATGCATGAATTATTTCTTCCCTAGCACTTAAATAAACAGAAGCAGAATAATGCTTTCATTAAGTCTAAACGTAAGAAAAATCTAACATCCATTCAAATGTATTTCATTCAAGAGAAAAAATATAACTTAAACCTACTAATACCCTCAATTACGATTTTATTTTGAATCTATCTTGAAATAAACAATCATCATACGCAAGATCCAACAAGTTTTGACCAAGCTAAGTAATTTCTCACTAATCCTTGAATCCTTATTCCTTGAACAAGACAAAGGAAATGCTGTTGACAGAAAATGCTTTCAGGACACGAGGCTGAGGAGGTTCTTTACAAATGCTATTAGAGAAATGGAGCACTTCCTACTTAAGGAGCACAATGCTAGAACATTAAACCTCACACGACTAAGATGAAAATTAAGGCAATGCATTCCCTTCAAAACATCCCTGTTTACACGGTAAGAAGCAGGAGGTGCTGCAGCCTGGAAGTGCAGTGCCCTGGCAGGACGAGCTGCCCCCCTGCACAGCCAGCGGCACAGGAGCAGCTCAGGCTCACACGGGTGGCTGCGCTCCGAGTTCAACCCGGTGTGACATTTCAGTCGATTCCAGGCCAGAACTGCGACGCCTCTGGACTCGGGTACAACACAGTCACCACCCTCATCCCCCGCGGACCTCACTGCAGCAGTGTGATAAGCACAGATGCGAAACAAATCAAAAAATCAGGTACTTCTTTCCCAAGGACAGTCCACACACTGTTAGGAACTACTACATCCTTGATGTTACGATGATGATTTAATATAAGTTGTTCCCTCTCTCCATATGCATTCTAAAACTTCTAGAAGATAAAAGAAAGAATACAGTAGTAAAGAAATGTGTGTATCTATTAAAAAGAAAAAAAAAACCAGTAGCAAAACACATTGGCCCTCTAACTAAAACTTCAGTGTTACAGAGGTGAAGCCCTGCATGCTTTCTTCCCACAGCCAGCCAAGATAAATTAGCAAACTGCATCAATCCAGGAAAGACAGGAGAAAATGCCAGAGAAAGAAGCTACTTGGATAAGAACATGCTGTAGCCTGAAAAAAAACAAGTGCTAAAAACACAACTCTGATAGAGAACAAGGGGAACCCTGAAGTTTACAGATAAATTACTATTGCTACTGCAGTCTAAATAGTGCTGCCAGTAAAAGTAGCAATTTAAATTTCTCCTCCACTACCTGAGATTATTTAAGGAAACCTAATAGTAATTTAGCTTCCATTTCCAACACTCTCTTATTCTCCCCTGAGAAGGCAGCACAGGAGACAAGAGGAAGGAAAAAAAGCTAGACCAGTGTTGAGCTACAGTTAAAATTTTAAGAAAAAAAAAAAAGTAACTACAGAGATGATCTATAAACGCATTTACTCACTGGGCCAAACAAATCTTCTTTGACAACATAATCCATCAAACTAAATGGTACTTTAACTACCAGGATCTTGATCATCAGCTGAACATAAAATCCCTAACTGGAATACAAGGATCTCCAAAGAGTAAACAAAAATTAAGGTCAGCAGTGACTGCATCCTCTGCTGCAGGACCGGAGAAGCAGAGCCTTGCTTCATTCCAGCTGTTCCCTCTGCGTCAACACCTTGTTCTTATCACCTTTTGACACTTTACACCCTGAAAATTCCGGGTTTGGTCCCTGATTAACTATGTAATGTCACCAGCCTGGCCACGTGCACATTAGCACTGTTATAAACTTAGTTTTTATGATGTTACTGCATCACTTTATTGCTATCAGAATTCAAGCCAAATCTGTTCAGGATTTTGAACAATCTTTGTTAGCACGGCTCAACCCTACAGCAGCCAAGGAGAGCTCCGACAGTAACACAGCTCGGAGTGTTGCTGCAAACATGAACGCTGGTCATAAATCACTTCCCAGCCCACTGCCCCCTCTGAAGTCCAGCAAACACTGACGGCAAAACACGTTGCTTACCTGCCAGTGTCAACTTTCAACTCGGCTCGGAGCTTGGAAACAGCGAGTTCAAAACACCCAACCCGCTGCCGACCTCACCCACAACAAACCTCGCTCCTGACCCTGCCCTGAGTAACAAACACTGAGCAGAACTTCACAGAACTGCGTCTATCAGAGAGGAAAACAGCGCGTTCAGCTCGAGATCATCCAGGCTGGAAGAGACCATCAAGCACCGTACCCCTTAAACCACTAAACCACATCACCGGTGCCTCTTAAACACCCCCAGGGACGGTGACTCCACCGCCTCCCTGGGCAACCCAATTCCAGCGCCTCATCACCCCGAACAGTGGGAAGCTGCTCCTGATGCCTGCCGGAGCCCGCCCGTGCCAGCGCAGGGCCGTTCCCCGCGTCCCCTCAGTGCGGGCAGGGCACAGGCACAGACACAGGCACAGAGCGGCCCGGCGGGGCCGCGCGGGGGGAGGCCCTTCCAGCCGCTCTGTTCAACGCGCCGGGGCTCGCCCGCACCTTCGGCAGCCGAACCCGCGCGGGGAAGCGCGGGCTGTTCCTGCCCTGGCGGCGACCGGCCCGGGACTGGGAGCCCCGCCGGGCCCGGGGTCTGCCCCGCGCCGCCGCTCCCGCCGCGGTGCCCGCACCCTCCCCAGGGCCGGGCGGAGGCCCCCGCGGCTACAGCCCCTGCCCCTCCCGCGGGCCGTGCCCGTGTCCCATTCCCGGTTCCCGTTCCCGGTTCCCATTCCCGGTTCCCATGCCCGTGTCCCATTCCCGGTTCCCGTCCCCGCTCACCCGCGCCGCCCCCTCCGCGCGGCCCCGCTCGCGCCGCTCCCGCCGGGACCCAACGGCACCGGCCGCACGCAGGAAGCGCCGCCAGCGCGCGCCGTCACTTCCGCCCCGCCGCTTCCGGAAGCTTCTGGAAAGGCCCCGCCGGGGCGTCCCCCGGCGAGCGCGCGGCGCCCCCTGCCGGCCGAGCGGGCGCGTCCCCACATTCCAAAGGGATCGCTCGCTCCAGAGCCCCGGATCCAGCGTCCAGCCCGGAGCCCTGCCCGGGAGTCACACCGTGGGCCTGAGGGCGTTATTCAAACGCTCCTTGAGCTCTGTCGGCATTGGTGCTGTGACCGCTTCCCTGAGGAGCCCGTTCAGTGCCACCCTCTGGGGGAAGAGCCAGTTCCCAACATCCAACCCAAACCTCCCCTGGCACAAGTTCAGGCCGCTCCCTCGGGCCTTGTCCCTGTTCCCCCCGGAGCAGGGATCGGTGCCTGCCCCTGCTCTGCCCTCCGAGGGAGCTGTACCTGCACTGAGGTCTCCCCCCATCCCTCTCCAGCTGAACACACCGAGTGCCCTCAGCCGCTCCTCACTAAACCTCCCCTGCAGACCCTTCCCCATCCTCGTGGCCCTCCTTTGGATGCTGAATGTCTCTTTGGAGGAAGAACTTCTTTACTGTGTGGTGCCCGTGCACTGGGACACATTGCCCAGAGAGGGTTTGGAGTCTCCATCACAGGAGATATTCAAGAACTTCAGGACACAGTCCTGTACAGTGTTCTCTGGGATGACCCTGCTTGAGCTGAGAGGTTGGAACAGATGACCCACTGTGGTCCCTCCCAACTTGACCCATCCTGTGATTCCGTGAGAGGAAATGCAAAACGTAATGCCCGGGAGTGGTGCTGAGGGAAAATTAGTAATTTTAAGAAACACTCTTTGAATAGATGAGTTTGGCTGCTAAACATGAAATGACAAAATTTCTTCCCCCTTGTGTGTTTAATTTTAACTTTGGCACAGAATTCCTTTGAGGGCAGATTCCTCCCTCTCCAGCTGGCACCTGGACAGAGTCCTGTGCTGTATTGGAGCATCCTTTGGGTTATGGTCGAGTATGTGGTTTTCCGACTGTCAGGGCTCAGAGCAAAGTACAAGCAGCCAAGTTATTATTCTATTTTTAAAACGTGGACTTTGCCCATGCTTTAAATTGCTGTAAAATTATAATTCTTGCCCTTTATTTAAAAAGTGGAGGAGGCATTAATTTATAGATCACCAAAGCGAAGTTGAAAGGGTTTCCACATGTAAAATATATGCTCCCCAAATACAGTCGATTAAAGGGCTACTCATTATTTAGGAGGTGTTTGTGTGGGAGTGCGGTCAGTTCAAGAACACAAAAGCCAGCTTGGAATAAGGCAGAGGAAAACCTAAAACAAATCAGCAAGGCAAGTAGTAGGACAACCCTAAGTCTAGGCTTGGTGCTTTGGGGAAATACAAGCTTCAAAAGAAATACTGTTCCATGAGACTTGATGCTAAATTGTGGTCATGGAAACCAGCCTTCATAATTAGAGCAAAGAGACACCTCGCTCCATTATTAGTTTCTCATTAGCAAGTAGCTCTGAAGTCCAAGTTGTTGATCCACTTGGAAAAAGAAAAAAACCCAGATGACTAGCAGGTTAGATGGGCCCTTCCTAACAGGTAAGGTTCAAACCTCAGAGGATTCCCAGCCAAGCCAAGTGCAAAGGCAAGGAGCAGGTCAGTACCGTGTGGTGCAGGAGGAGATCATAGAAAATTTTGATTTAATTCCTGTATTGGGTCTCTGTGGCTGGGGTTTTTTGGGGGGGAGGGGGAACAGGGAGGGGGGTTATCCTACAGTGCTGGCTTCTGTTAGAAGCTGCTGGAAGCTTCCCCTGCCTGGTGGAGTCAATGCCAGCCAGCTCCAGGACAGGCTTCCTGCCACTGGCCAAGGACAAGCCCATCAGGAGTAACAGTAACAGCTCCAAGATAACATATTTAAGAACAGAAAGTTGTTGTGCAGAACAAATTCCAGCCAGGGAAGAGCGGAGTGAGATCATGGGAACAGCAATGCAGACACCAAGGTCAGTGCAGAAGGAGGGGCAGGAGGTGCTCCAGGCCCTGCAGCCTGTGGGGCAGCCCATGGTGGGGCAGCTGTGCCCCTGCAGCCCGTGGAGAGGGAAGCCCACGCTGGAGCAGGTTTTTCCTGGGTAGGACTTGTGGCCCCTGTGGGGGACCCACACCAGTACAGCTCATCCATGAAGGACTGCACCTCATGGAGGAGTGACCCACGGGAGAGCAGTCTGGGATGAACTGCTGCCTGAGGGATGGACTCACGCTGGAGAGGTCCATCAAGGACTATCTCCTGTGGGAGGGACCCCACAGGAGCAGGGGAAGGACTCCTCTCCCTGAGCAGTGGCAGAAACAACAAGTGACCATAACCCCCATTCCTCGTCCCCCTGCACTGCTGGGGGGAGGAGGCAGAGTTCTAGAAGGAAGGAGGGTTGGGGGGAAGGTGTTTTTAAGATTATTTTTTCTCACTCTTTTGCTTTGATTCTGTTAGTAATAAGTTTAGGTAATATCCCCACTTTGAGTCTGTTTTGCCTGTGAAGGTAATCAGTAAGTGACCTCTCCAGCTCTTATCTCAACTCATGAACCCTTCATTTTTTTTTTTTTCTCTCCTCTGTCCAGTTGCAGAGGGGAGTGAGAGAGCAGCTTTAGTGGGTACCTGGCATCCAGCCAGGGTCAAACCATTACAATGCTTTAAACATTTCTTGATGTGGAAATAAAGAGGTTTTTCCTCAACCTTTCATAACCAATGACAGAGGGGAACAAAGTATGAAGAGTCCTAAAAACATGACCTGCAGTAAACAAGACAGAAGTAGTGCATAAGGCACTTACTTTGCTTTGTTTACAGAGCAGGTTTGGTATAAAAGGTACGATGGATGCCAACCATAAAATTTGCTATTTATCCACACAAGCACAACATGTCAAAGAAGCACGATTCTACATGGAATTTTGGGGTTAAAATCAAAACATTGTCCACATCAATGCAACCAGGACCATGGCTGCTTTAACACAATTGTTATCATTACATTAATCTGCCCACAAAGTTTCTGACACTCTTCTGACTCTAGATAGTGTAACTCTCCATTAGCACCCTTCAGATACACGAAAAATATCTGGGAAAGCTTAGAGACCATATTTGCATTTGGAGAAAGTCAGGCATGAGAAGGTGAAGTGCTCACTCACGGCTGAGGGCAGGGCGAGCTGTATGAGATCCATTTGGCATTTTCTACAGTAAAACACTGAGAGTGTAAATAATTGCTTCCGAACAAAGCTATAGAGACAAACAAAAACTTATGTAATAAAGAAAAAAAATCCAAACTATATTTTGGTCGGTTTATGCTTGTCTTTGAAGTGGGATATGAAGACATTTCCTGAGACTTTACAGAGTGGGTAGTTTGCAGAGCCACCAATTACAAATATCAGTTATTAGGTCACCTCTTTTTTTTTTTTTTTAACTTACGATCTTTGACAGCTCAGATTGTGTCTAACACCGAACAATAACAAGAAGTGTTTCATTTTTTAAAGTTTGTTTATACTGTGCCCATGATATTTAATTTTCTGTTCTCCATGTTACAAGGAAAGGCAGGTGGTTCCATAAACACAGCACACAGCGAAGCCCACCAGAAGAGCTACTGCAGGGTAGACTGAAAAGACCCACGTGAGTGTGCGAAGTCAGCGTCCCCAAAACTCCTGTAGTAAAACAATGTGACCCCAGCTTGTCCTGAGCTGACCTGAGCCGGATTCTGCAGAGCTGCTTACAGGGATCTCCCCAGTGCCCCAATTCCGAGAGATTTACCCCCTTACGCTTGTGAGCACCAGGTCTGGTGAGCTCTGGAACTGTGCCCAGGCAGAAGCCAATCCCAGCGTCTCTGCAAGAGGCAGCTCGGGCTGGCACAGAGTGCCACGGGACCTCCATCGACTTGGTGACACTTGGGAACAATGGGACAGAGGGAGCAGATAAGGGATTTCTACTTACATCGCAGAGTTCCAGGTGTGGGGAGAAGTCATTCCAGAGCTTCCAGGCTGAGGCTGCCTCTAACTCAGTGTCCATCAGGCTGCTCCTACCAAAGGGAGAAGTTTCTACCTCCCACCTGTGGTTCAAGCTTCCCCTTGATGGGGATAAAAGACCTCGGTAAATGACCAAGCATTCCACCTGAAGTCACCCTGACAAGGTTTAACCCTAAGCATTTTTTTTGTGCACAGAAACACTTGTAACATGGGTTACAAGTTAGCAGTAATTTGGGAGTGCAAGACTCGGCATGAATCTGTAAAAACATTAACAGTGACAGATTTTTTATCCCTTTGGTCACCTTCCAGTAGAATTTAACAGAGAAACATAAATTATAGAGTGATTTCAAAACATGGTCTTCTTTTCTTTGCTTCTGTTTGTTTTCTGAGCAGAAGAACATTGCTTGCAGGTGAGCAGTGAAGGAAATGCTGCTGTGCCCAGTGTATTCCTTGCCTTAGCCCCGGGTGGCAGCACACACACCTCTTACTCCTCCAGATCTTCAGTGGGTCAGCTCAGCCTCTGGGATTTTTCCAGGCTAATGTGTTCTAATCTATATGTGCCCAGGCAAAGTCTCTGCTTCTCCCAGATCACCCAAAGGTCAAAATAGATACCGTGGCTATGATTGCTTTTAAGAGTAGCATTCTGATGAATGATGTTTGTAACTATAGTCAGGTACTGCTGAACCAGCTGTTCCCTCCCTTTCTCTCACTCAAGTCACATAGTTCAAGTACCACAGAACAGGACTGACTAGTTCCCCAATAATTAATTAAAATTCTTGTGACCCATAGTTCGATTTGATCTGTATATTCAGACCCACTCAGTTAAGATTTCTCAGAACAAAACTTTAACATTAATCACACTTAGATGTCTTGCCATAGTTTGAAAGTCCTCAAATGAGAACTGCCTCTGTCAGTGCTTTCCATGCAGTGGAAGGGCCTTGTGTACAAAGTTAACACTGCATAAGGTAAAGAGCCAAAGCCACCTTCCTTCTCTTCAGAGGAAATGCCACGGGGAAAGAGGCAGGACTTGCAGAAAGAGGTAGCATGGC